TCATTGCCGAGCGCAGTGGCAGCGACCCCGCGCTGGATGGCGATGCCGAGAAGGCTCCACCACCGGCGGCGCAGGCCGGCCGCGAGGCTGCTTCGGACAGCAGCCGGCGCGCGGGGGAGCCGCGTCGCCACGAGGTAGCGGCAGTCCGGGTGCAACCGCCCGCCCACTTCGGCGGCGAGGACGAGCAGGCGTTGCGGCCCAGGACGAAGAAATTCATGATACCGCCGGTGCTTGCGCTCGGCAGCCGCCTGTAGAGCTGCGCCATCGACCTCGTGGGAGCGCCGGGTGGGCTGGCCGCCCCGATTAAGGGGACTAACCAAGGTTTTATTTAATTAAAATATGTATTATTATTCTTAATTAATTTTATATTAAATTTCAAATTAAATAAATTATTTAAAAAATAATAAGAATAAAAAATAAAAAGAATTAAAAAAAATAAAATATATATATTTATATTTATAATAATATAAATTTTAATATTTTTTTTATATATCATTATATTTATTTAATAATTTTTAAAAAATATTATTTATAAAATAATTTAAATTCAATTTATATAATTAATTTATCTTATATTATATTTTTTATTATTATTTAATATTTAATATATATAATTATGTTTAAAAGAAATTTATATTTTATATATTTGATAATTATATTTATATTACATTTATAATAATTTCAATTATTTATATGAATAATAATAAATATATGTATTAATTTTATTATTCTAAATATTTTTTTTTTTTTATTTTTGATGCATATTAGTTTTATTAGTATTATTATTATTATTAGTATTATTGCTCTTTTTACTAGTCCTTTTCCGTTTCTACTCCTATTGTTGCTATTGTATGCTACTGTTATTGTTTTTGCTATTATTATTGCTACAGCTACTCCTATCTGTATGTTATTGTTTTTGCTATTGCTATTGCTACAGCTACTCCTATTGCTACTACTACAATCACAGCTACAACTACAACCGCATCCACAACCGCATCCACAACCACAAGCACAACTAACTAAAACAATTCAACTACGACTACAACTACCCCACCCTACATCCAGTCAGCTGTTGTGGTTGAGGTGACCACTACAACCACTCCAAAAGGCACAATTGCAATCACCTTTTGGTCTATTAGTGGATTCCCTCTTGCATCACAACAACTCACCTCTCCTATAGTTTCCTGTCATTGAAACTTCCTCCAGCGTCTTGTGCGATATTACTGGTATTCATACTAAAAATAGGTATTGTTTTGTATCTATCTTAAATACGCAAAAGTAAAAGTTAGCATTCCTTCTAATATAATCGAAAGTGAAGGTGGATCTGCGCATTGCGGTGTTGTTTTAAATATAAAATGGGCGCGTTTGTGCTGTAAATTTTGTGGGTCATATATGGTCATTGAGTCATATCATATCATATTATATCATATCATATCATATTATATCATATTATATTGCAGGTGGTGTTGCGTCTCCTGTTGTACGTCCTTTGTCGCAGTGCACATCTTGCATTGCTGAACGCCATGTCGCGCATCGTGTTGTACGTAATGGCAAGTCGTCTTGTCAGTCGTATTGCCCGGCATGTCATCTGATCGCATGCTGCGCATGCAACGCATGGAAATTTGCAGGAAAAAACCGAAACCAAACGATGTTTATGATAATGATTGTTCATTTCTGACAAGCACAGCACTCCATTGGCAACATTTGCAGCGCTGCTTGTTGATTGCTTTGTCCCAATCTGTATTGGTCAGGGACATGCTACGATAAAGTATAATTTCATGTGGCAACGCTCGTAGAATCTCTCCATTGCGATGGACGCCACATTTGCATGCATGCAAATCTGCATTTTGAATCTAAATCTATCATCAAAGCTTTTCTAGAGATATAGCGTATGGCCCGGTATTGTATAGTATCGTCTTGAAACAACATCCACGGTCAACGAATGCTTTTTTGCCAAGGCATCGAATGTTGGTAGTCGTCATCAATCTGTGGGTTGTGGCTTCATTGCTGGAAAAAGAATAACCTCCTTGATGTTGTTTTTATCTGCCAGCAGCATGACCTCAGCCACACCAAAAAGGCCCAAAATGAGTGATGTTACACACTAGGGACCTCTAATATATGCCGCCAATCAGTCGGCAAAACCCATTTGAATGAAGTAATGTCACGTTCCTTACTTTTCTGGAACATACAATCCCATCTCAACACATCTTTGAATCTGTTGTGTTGCGGATATAAAGGAAGCACAGAAACAGTTGCGGTGCCCCATGCTCCACCAATCCTCCATGCTGCCAAGGGAGCCAAGCGATCGATGCCACAACCGCAGCCGCCAGTGGGTGGCAGGCCATGTTCCAATGCGATAACGAAGCCTTGATCCACGTTTTGCGCCTCCTGCCCCCGCATCCCACCGGGATGAAAACTGGGGGAAATCATCATTCCATCCCTCACTGGGGATGAACATGTCTATGTGGGATTCATTGGGGGATTAAAAAAAAGGATTCCTTCAGGGATGAAAATGAATCCTCTAAACTACAGCCTTGAAACATCTTTTTGCTGTCATTGACAACTTCCTCATGCCACCATTCAAGTTCAACAAAAACTGTTAAAATATGCGACACAAGGCCTCATCACCTTGGCTCTTTGCCACGGCTTGGTCCTAACAATGGGTCCCGAAAGATCCGTATGCAATTGTGCCAATCAACCAGTTGGGGGTTCCAACTCAGCCACGTGCCTGGAAACAAGCCAGCTGCCGTTCAGGATCGTTCAGCTCAGTGTAGGCATTACAGAGCTCCTGGCACGACTTCCTACGAACACCAGGATTTGCAACAATATATTGTCCGTCCCCTCCCCTTGCACAACATCATTTGACAACATTTGACTCTCCATGACCATTTGTTGAACAGCTTCAAAATGTTTCCAGGCCTTGCCCATCACAAACATCTCAAAGCGCTCTGTCAGACCTTCCTTGCTGCGATGCCACTTGGCCAATGGACTCATCACCTGCAGCGGTCCCAGAAAGCTGTGCCACGTGAGACTGGACTACCATCGACTGCCTGAGGGTGCTCAATGATGAAGGTGGGGTTCACAATGTGATCCTCAATGAAGTGGCCACAAAGCCTTGGAGCTTTGCAAAAGCCGAATCAAGAGGTCAGTGGCTACTTACAGAATCTTAAACAGATGGGATTTCCTAAAATAGGGGTACCCCCAAATAGGTGGCTTATAATGGAGAATCCCATCTATAAGTCTATAAGTGGATGATTTACATGATTTAGGGGTACCCCTATGACTCAGGAAACCTCCATATGAGCAACGGAGATGCAGATCGCACATTCGCCAGGCGACTTGTCCAACAGCCGCGGCGCCGTTCGAGGTGCTGGGCAATCCAGGCGTAACGACTTCACCAAGTCATCAAGGACCTGGAAAAAACCCATGAGATTTCCCATAGCGAAATCCATGGGAGATTTAACTAAGAAACAGGGGGAGATCATGGAAATGACAACTTCAATCAACTTCATACAGTAAATGATGTTTGGGTTTGTCTAAACGCGTGCCCAAAATTCATTGGTTCATCATCATTTTCGGATTAAAGTGGCCATGACTGGGTTGGATCATCCCAATTGCAAACAAAACCCAGGGCAAGTTGCAGTCAGTAAAACCCAAACCTAACTAACACTTGGTTCGCGATCCGCACATGCGGAAAATGAGAGCATTAAACCCTCTAAAGAGTGGGAACAGAAGCAGTCATTAAAATAAACATGGGTACGGTACAAAATATCGCACCCACCCTGCGATCAAGGAAATTGGAACTAAATCAAATTGATGTTCCATGTGGGAGGGAGAAAAAATCCTGGGTTTCGAAGTTTGGAGATGTGCAGAGTAAGTGGGGATAGAAAACATGCACAAACCAAACGCAATCTAAGAAAATCAATGCAACTTATACTAAATATTTTGTGGGAAAACACTTCAAAGATGGTCCCTACTGCTATTCAGAATTTCCGTTTCAAGGAATTGTGTTTCCAGTCCCTCAGCACGAGCCTCCCGGGTAAATTCATCTTCAAAATTCCGGGGCAAATTTGTGCCGAAGTGTTTCTCAATCTCTTCCACCATTAAGATACGGGGCCAGGGGGGCGGGGCCAGGGGGGCGTGAAGTCGATTAAGACCTCAGATAGGCCAGCAACATGGCATGTTTTGGTTTGCCCACATGCTACCAATGGGCACGCGTGTGTTTCACAAAGTGTTAAACATCAAACACACTTACGTTGTGCAAAGAAATCTTGTTATTGTTAAATATTAATCAAGTTTTTGCTATGTAATTTGTGCGTAGATCAACATACGCAATGGTGCCGATTTTCGCCCAGCCAGCCAAGTTGCGGCATCTTTTTCCGGTCCATGGGGATGATATTCAATCCTTAGCCACCAACCATGTCTTCTTTTGGAGATCAAGGACCAGTATGCCAAGGAACGCATAGCCACCGATCAGTTCTAAGACCAGTCCACTGATAAATTCCTGCAAGGAGTTGGCTAAATTTGTTTGGATTCAACGATTTGGTCCGGTAGAATTCTATGCACAAAAATCTCTTCTCATTTGCGTATAAAAATAGAACATTAAGATAGTTAGATGGTCTGTTTTACAATCAAATGGTGGTTTCTTAAAATAGGGGTACCCCCAAATCATCCAGTTTCATAGGGTTTTCCGTGATAAACCATCCATGTGGGAATATATAACCCATTTATAGAAACCCCCAAATATATCTATACATAGGCATGCAACCTCATATATATATGGATATGCTATTTGCATCATGCATCTATCATATTTAAAAAAATATATTTAAATATGTATATATATATATATAAATCATTTACGTATTCTTATATCCAAATATGGTCAGATCAAATCAAATCAAGTCATATTATATTCTAGTGCATGTCTTATATTGTGCTGTATTGCATTCAATCGGATCATATTATATCATTTCATCTCATTTCATATCATTTCATGTCATTTCATATCATATTTTATCATATTACATATTAGTGCATTTTTGTATTGAATCAAATTATATATCATTTTTATTTTCTGCTTTATTAAATCATATTATACAATTTTATCTCATATAATATTATATTATATTGCAAAGTATTACATCATACTTTACAACGCTATATTGCATTGTAATAATAAATATTGTTATGTATGATACTAAAATAAATCTTATATTATATCTTCTCGTATTCTGTTATGTTAAATCATCATATTATAATATTACCCTTTATCATATTAAGCTGTATTGCATTATATTATGTAATATTGTATTGCATAATACCTGTTTAAAATCATATTACGAAATATACTATACTATATTATGATATGTTATATTAAATTATGTTCAATTATATTATGCTATATTGCGTTGTACTGCATTGTATTTCAAAATATGGTATTATATAATATAATGTTATATTATGCTAAATTACATCGCAATACATAGTATTACAAATATTTTGACGGTATCTTACATTATATTACACTATATTACATTATATTGCATTGTATGGCTCTATATTACACTATATTACACTATATTACATTATATTGCATTATATTGCTATTACACTATTTTACATTATAATATTACATTATATTACATTATATATATATATATTAAATATATATATATATACATTAAATTGCATTAGTAATATGTTGCAATGTATTGTATGATATATGTGTGTATGTCTGTGTGATTGTCTATGCACTAATGGTGTTGGCAATGTGCTCTCCAGTCGATCACAAAGGTCCAGCAGCCTCGGTGAGATTCATCATCTGGTCGTAGTCTGCGTAAGCCATGTAAAATTCACAGGTTGTGAACCTTTGGGCGCCAAGGCGTGGAAAATCTGATGGAACCGTCACAAAAACTTGATGGAATGCTTAAAGACTAAACAAGAGGGACCAATGAACCCGCATGCAGTCACGTAAAACACTTTTGCGAAACAAATGTTTGAACAGTCTTGTGCATGTTACAAATTTTCCCCTGTTACCCTACCAGTGCACTGTAGACAGTGGAAAATGAAATGGGTTGGAGTGCCAAGTGCGGAGCGCGAAGAAATTGGATTGCTGAGTAGGGAATGTAGCGTGTAGAGTGTGAATGGGGAGTTGCGGAGTGTGGAGTGTACAGTGTGGGGTGTGGGGAGCGTGAAGTGTAGAATGCGTGGGGCAAAGTGTGAAGTAAAATGCGCAAAGACTGGAATAGAAAGTGTCAAGTGCGGAGTGTAAAGTGTAGAGTGTAAAGTATAGAGTGTGGAGCGTAAGGTGTAAAGTGTGGAGTGTGGAGCGTAAAGTCTGGAGTTTAGAATGTAGCGTGTCAAGAGTAAAGTGTAGAGTATAAGGTGTGGAGTGCATAGTGTGGAGTGTAAATTGTAAAGTGTAGGGTGCGGAGTGTGGAGTGTAAAGTGTATTGTGCGGAGCGAGTGTAAAATGTAAAATATACAATGTGAAGTGCAAAGTGTCTAGTGTGGAGTACAGAGTGTGACATTTGAAATGTGAAGTGAGGAGTGCGAAGTGGAAAGTGTGGAGTGTAAAGTGTGGAGTGTACAGCGTGGAGCGCGGAGTGTGGAGTGTTGTGTGTGGAGTGTAACTTGTAACGTGTACGTGTGGAGTGTGGAGTGTGGAGTGTACACTGTAGAGTGTGCAGTGGGGAGTGTACAGTGTGTAAATTGTCAAGCGCGGGGTATTTAATGTATTTAGTGTAGGGTGTAAAGCGTGGAGTGTAAAGTGTAAAGCGTAAAGTGGAGGAGTGTGAAGTGCAAAGTGTGAAGTGCAAAGTGTGGAGTGTAAAGTGTGGAGTGTAAAATGCGGAGTGTAAAGTGTAAAGTGTGGAGTGTACAGTGTACAGTGTATAGTGTGGAATGCCAAGTGTGAAATGAGAAGTGTCAAGAGTGAAGTGAGAAGTGAGAAGTGTCAAGAGTGAAGTGAGAACTGTCGAGTGGAATTTGTTCAGTGTGGAGTCTAGAGTGTGGAGTGCGGAGGGAGGAGGGAGGAGTGAGGAGGGTAGAGTGCGGAGTGTGTGGAAGGTAAAGTGAAAAGTGTGGAATGTGGAGTGTGGAGTATAAATCGTATATGTGGAGTGCGGAGTGCAAAGTGTAAAGTGTAAAGTGTGAAATGTGAAGTGTGGAAGGTAAAGTGGAAAGTGTGGAGTGAGGAGTGTAAAATGTCAAGTGTGGAGGGGAGAGTGTGTGGCGCTGAGTGCAAAGTTGAGGGTGCGGAGTGTAAAGTGCGAAGTGAGGAGTGGGGAGTGTAAAGTAAGGAGTGAGGAGTGTGGAATGCAAAGTGCAGAGTGCAAAGTGTAAAGTTTGGACTGTAAAGTGTAAAGTGTGGAGTGTGGAATGTAAAGTCTGGAATTTAAAGTGTACTTACAGTGCGGAGTGTAATTTGTAAAGTGTAAGGTGTGGAAAGAGCAGTGGAAAGCGAAAAGTGCGGAGTGTAAAGTGTAAAGTGTGCTGTGAAGGGTGTGAAGTGTACAGTGTCAAGTTTCACGTGTGGAGCATGGAGTGTAAAGTGTGGGGTGTGGAGTGAGGAGTGTAGAGAGCGGAGTGAGGAGTGAGGAATGTAAAGCGCAGAGTGTGAAGTGTGGAGTTTAAAGTGTGGAGTGCACATAGTATAGTGTGGAGTGCGGAGTGGGGAGTGAAGAGGGTAGAGTGTGGAGTGAGCAGTGAGGAGTGTAAAGTGAGAAGTGTGAAGTGTGAAGTGTGAACTGTAAGTTGGGAATGTGAAGTGTGGAGTGTGTAGTTTAGAGTGTGGAGTGTAAAGTGTAAAGCGTAAAGCGGGTGTGGGGGGTAAATGTGTAGAATGTGAAGTGGGGGGTGTGAAGTGTAGTGTGGAGTGAGGAGGGAGGAGTGTAAACTGTGGAGTTTAAAGTGTGGAATGGAAAGTGTATTAGCCAAAAACACGCAGCACGAAACCTCTGAAGTGCTGCGCCTGGCACGCTAAATGAGGATGGGGGTCTCCAAAGTGCTGCGCTTGCCACGAAAGCTGCAACTCATCTGCTGCAAACGATGCAAAAGTATTGCACTGCTGCTTGCCGCACAAAATCAGTCTCGACACTTTTGCAGACACGTCAGAATGTCAGGAAGTGCCACGCCTGCCACGCAAAACGACATGACAACTTGTTTTGAAACTTTCGAGAAGGAATTGCAGCTTCCCCCATAGACACAGAGACGGCAGAAGAAAACCAACCAGAGCCTCCAAACGAGACATGTGGGAGCCTCAAAACGAGCATTTCGTGCGAGACGTCCTCAATTTTTCACATTTCGTAGCGTCAAAATCAGCGTTTTCCTACATGTTTAAAATTGGCTACCTCAAAATCGAAGTCTTGTGGGAGGCTTCCGGCAATTTTCATCACATCTCACAAAATGCAAGGCCTGCCATAGAATTTGCACCTTGTTACATCTTGTTACCACTTCGCACAGCCCTGTCAATGGGATGGGATTAGCCACGTTTGAAGTGCTGCGCCTGCCACCCTAAATAACGATGGAAGTCTCCAAAGCGTCGCGCCTGCCCGCATCTTCTGAAAACAACGCCAAAATATTTCGCTTGCCACACAAGATTGTTTTACGATTTTCGACCTGTGATGAAACATGTTGGAATGTCACAAAATGGTGCGCCTGTCAGGCGAAACGAAGCTGCGCGACGATTGAAATCTCCGGAAATGACCACTTTTGCAGAACTCGCCAAAGGCACGGCCATAGCGGCCTAGCAGACGGTTGCGAATGGTCGCCAACGGTTGCAAACGGTTGCCGACAGTTGCAAACGGTTGCGGTCGCAGAAGCGGCGTCGAGCGAACACGTCTCCACCCCCAGACCCCCAATGTAAAACAAGAACCCTTCGCCATGCATTGGGGAAAAACGGTTGCATACATTTGCAGCAAGTGACAAACAAAACAAAGACAGCATCATGCAGTGCGAGTTCAGAAGGAAAGCAGTACATCCAGTAGGACGAGCTGCTCTGGGTTGTGTGTGAGGTCGATTCCCTCGTTGCGAAAATTGCGGCCTATCTCGAAAACACGGTCCAGGCCACCAATAACAAGCCTGAGTTTCGATGGCTGGGACTAGTAGTACCAGTAGCAGGCAGAGAGCCAATCCATGTTTTCAGCCTAGAATATGATTGCTGCATCTTCACTTCAAACACTGAACAGTTCCCCAACACAAGTTCGCTAAGGTTGGATGGCAGAATTGAATAGTGTGTCACTTGGTTTTCTGGATCTGGGAGCCCAGTGGCTGTTTCAGGTAAAGCTCCGGAGCAATTCGCATGTACCTCAGGCTGAGGTTCAGGGAACATGTTTCAAAAGCTGGTTGGAGATGGAATGAACTGCATTCGTTTGAGACTGTTGAAAACTTTGTGTGCCGAGTTGCAAATCCATGTCTAGCTCATTGTGTCTGGTAATGAAGGGCTTGGCAGAGGCACCCCCTGCGATTGCATTCCTTGGGTGCAGGCTCACTAGCAGCCAGGAAACATGATACCCCTACTGCAAGCCACTTGTGAAGCAACATCTGACAAGAGACATCATCGGCGTCTCAACTTCCAGGAAACCTTTTTCCTGCAGCATTTCATCATGGCTTAAACGACAGAGAAACAGTTTTTAAAAAAGAAAAAGGTTGCCCTCTCCTGAAGATAACGCCTGATGTAATTCGTTACTGCAGATCTCAGCCGGAAGGTTTTGCGCACGTCTTCGTTGATCATCAAATCCAAATATCCTTAGCACATCTTGGCACTGAGTCATGAGTGGGCCATCAAGGAAGAAATCATTTGTCATGAGACGATTACAAAATTCAGAATACATTCCTCCGACTAGCAAAAGCTGCTCAAGGTCTTTGAAATAGCAAACCGCAAGAAACCGACAAGGTTAAAGAATGCGTCGGCACTATGTTTTTCCATGGTGCTCTTGCGATATCTTGTTTCCTGATCTTTCAAACCTGCCAGGGACATGCAAAGACCACTGGGGAAAGGCCAGGACCAACGACTGGTACAATTTCCGGGTACCCTTCGGCCTGAATAGTCTTTGGGCAACATGTGCAAACATGGCGAAAGCAGTTTCACTTCTCGAGGAAAAACTGAAAGTTCTCCGCGTTTGGATTTCCCAATCACTCCGCGGACGCCAATGATGTCCTTAGATTGCCGCTGGGAATTGCAAGGAGGTAACCTTTGGCCCCATAGACTTTTTGACGCGGCCATCCCTGAACAGAACCAAATCATTCCAAAATTTTCCAAGAAACTCCACGATGAATGTTTGCATGAACTTCCTTGAAGTCTTCTCCCGCATGCATTTGAGGGCTGCACATCACCTCACGCATCTGCCAAGAACGCTTTGGCAACCAACATTATCAACCGACATGGCGAGGATGGCGGGATCGGCACCAACCTGGATTCGGTCTTCACCTTCGGAAAGGTCATAGAACTTCAATTTTGCCCCGGAGGATCGCAGACTCTTCACACGGCCAGCTATCCTGACCTCCACCTGAAAAACCAAAACGACTGCATCTTGGTACTAGCTCCTTCAAATTCCTTCAACTAATGAAAAGATTGAAAAACTTACCTCCTAACATTGTGCATCATCTGGCATACCATGGGAATATAAAACCATGAATGATAAAGATTATTTTAAAAAAAACGCATGTCATCTACGGCAGATGAATACTCACGCAATTTGGGCGGCAGGCTTGCCTCATCCACCCGAGCACCATCTTCCAGGTCGGAATAGTCAGCGATCAATTTTGCCAACGAGGTGTTGACTTCCCACATGTGCGGGTAGGCTTCCACACCAGTCTGTCATCCGCGTTGCTGCCACGGCGTCA